CTGTTCCGCGCCAACACGCGGAGCCGCGAGTTCCCGGCGCACGGCGCCAAGGTGCACTCGGTGGCCTGGAGCTGCTGCGGCCGCCGCCTCGCCTCCGGCTCCTTCGACAAGACAGCCAGCGTCTTCCTGCTCGAGAAGGACCGGCTGGTGAGATCCCCCGGCGTCGGGCGGTGCGGATCGGTACCGGGACCCCTTGGGCACTCCGGGTGCGGCTGCTTGGGCTGGTGTGTGGAAGCAGTGTCCCGGTGGTCGGTGCAGGCCCTGAGGGTGGCTGCTCGGTGTGCACCGGAGCAGGAGCATCGCCAAGGACGGCGCAGGCCGGGTCTGCGAGCCGGGAACGGAGCTGGTGCCTGGCGGGGAAGGCGGCGGGGATTCTGTATCCTGGCCGGCCGTGGGCCGGGAACGTGACTGGGGTGGCCGCGGGGCTCCTGATGGATCCCGGCGGGGATGCAGTGTGCTGGGACGTGGGGCAGGAGCGGGAGCGGAGCCAGGCGCATCCTCACGGCGTCTGCCCTCTCCCCCCAGGTGAAGGAGAACAACTACCGGGGCCACGGGGACAGCGTGGATCAGCTCTGCTGGCACCCCAGCAACCCTGACCTCTTCGTCACAGCGTCAGGGGACAAAACCATCCGCATATGGGACGTCCGCACCACCAAGTGCATCGCCACTGTCAACACCAAAGGTGAGTCCCTGCCTTCCCAGGGCAGTTCCTGCAGTGGCACAGAGCTTCGGACCTTTCCTGTGGTTATTTCTGGTTCTTATCTTTGCTAAGTGCTTTATATTTGTGTTGCACTCATCATGTGAGAGCTGCTTTACTGTGGGTAAAAGGACTGGTAGAACTACTGAAATATTGCGCTGGCTGTTCAAATGTCCTTTGTACTCGTCTCTGGACGAGTCTGTCTCTGGAGCCAGTGGGCTGTGGGGCTGGAGGCTTGGGAAAAGCATGTTTACAGAGAGCCATGGTGGAAATAAAAGTTTGTGTGGATTCAGAAAAACAATATGAATTCATGTGCTGCTTAGCCCAAATACCCTCTCTGCTCTTGGAAACGTCCAGTTTTGAGTTGTTTGGGCTGGGAATGGCATTGTAAGGTTGTGTTACAGTAACCTGCCATGTTCTTACCTTTTTTCAAAGGTACTTACTTTTGGCTTCTGCTTTTTCTGGATCTCAGAGATGACTGGATTCAGAGGATCTTTGGCTTGACCTTGTGTGCTGATTGCTGTGGTCCCATTTTGGCTGAAATGGGGCATGGCATATTGTTTTCAAGCTGTACTTCTCACAAGTTTGGCTTTGCTGGGTAGCTGCTGTGAAGGGTTTGTGTGTTAGATTGAAGAACTGGCAGTCTTTCCCATTTGGGAATGGTTTAGAGTGGAAGTGGGACCTGCTGCCTTTTTGTCCTTTCAGGTGAGAACATCAACATCTGCTGGAGCCCTGACGGACAGACCATCGCCGTGGGGAACAAAGATGATGTGGTCACCTTCATTGATGCCAAGACACATCGCTCCAAAGCTGAGGAACAGTTCAAGTTTGAGGTGAACGAGATCTCCTGGAACAACGATAACAACATGTTCTTCCTCACCAATGGGAATGGCTGCATCAACATCCTCAGGCAGGTGCCCGTGGCTGCTGGTGGGCCGGGTGGCTGGGCTGGCTGCAGTAATTTGCTGCTTTTGGGAAACCTGAGCCCCACATCCCAGCAATCCCTTGCCTTCTGGTGGGAATGAGCTTGCCTGGAGCTGAGGTTGTCACAGTGGTAGACTGGGTTGGGCTCCCTGAAATAGTCCCTGATGCTTTGCCTCATTCACTGGACACTCAGTGTCTCCTGCCTTGGCAGGGTTTGTTTCCTGTCCAGCTCTAGGGAATCCCTGTGCTTCTCTCACTGCTTCCTGTCCTCTCCCTTCACCTCCACAGCTACCCAGAGCTGAAACCCATCCAGTCCATCAATGCCCATCCTTCCAACTGCATCTGCATCAAGTTTGATCCCATGGGGAAGTACTTTGCCACAGGCAGTGCTGATGCATTGGTCAGCCTCTGGGATGTGGATGAGCTGGTGTGTGTGAGGTGCTTCTCCAGGTAGGTAGAGCTGTCCCAAAATTGTTTTCCCCCCCTCTCTGGGGATTGTGGTGGCGGTGCCTCACTGTCTGTTCCCCTCGGTTGCTGCAGGCTCGACTGGCCCGTGCGGACGTTGAGCTTTAGCCATGATGGGAAGATGCTGGCCTCAGCATCAGAAGATCACTTCATTGACATTGCTGAGGTGGAGACAGGTAATGGTCTTATTTTGGGGAGCAGCAAGGAGGGAATTGGATGGAGCTGGGAGGACACGGAGAATCTGTCTGCTAAGGAAGAGCTTTCCTGTGCAGAGCAGAATGCCATGAGGGGGAGCCTCTGCCTCAGTAGTCTGTGGCAGACATTCCTGTCATGTCCATACCTTGTCACTGGGTGACTAAAAGGCGCTGGAGCAGCGTTTGTGCTGCCTCTCCCATTCACTGAGGGAAGCAGCAGGTGCTTGGCTCTGGGGAGGTGAGCAGCAGAGGGGGCTGGAGGCTCTCCAGGCTGACATGGCTCCTTTTCCACGCAGGAGAGAAGCTCTGGGAGGTGCAGTGTGAGTCCCCCACCTTCACAGTGGCCTGGCACCCGAAGAGGCCGCTGCTGGCCTTCGCCTGTGATGACAAAGATGGCAAATATGACAGCAGCCGGGAGGCTGGCACTGTCAAGCTTTTTGGGCTCCCCAATGACTCCTGATGAAGCTGCTGCACCCAGGAAGGCAGCACCTGCCTGCTCTTGGGGGTGGGAGCTTAGATAGCATAGGTTGGGCAAGGAGCTGGCTCATCTCCTTGCCAGCCTGGCAGGCTGTGAGCTAGGGCTCAGCTAGTGTCCTGCTCTTGGGAGCTTTTATGAACAGGCAGCTGTGTGCTGGGGAAAACGGGGGATGCTGGAAGGGCCCCCCCTCTGCTGCCTCCTCTCTGGGGCGTGTGGGGCTTGTTCCAAAGGCAAGTGGCCAAAGAAAATCAGTCACTGAAGGTGGCTGCTGAGGAGCCTTCCTCCCCAGCATTGATGGGATATGTGACTGTCCCCTTGTCCCCAAAAGCCTGGCAGCAAGGGCAGCTCTGAGAGCACAGCCTGGCTCTCCCCCTCCCAGACACCCCATGTCCCTTCCCTGTGCTGGGGCAATGAGGGGAGGGTGGGAGGGGTTTGAACTTGTAGATGTTTTCCCAGCTGTGGCTTTTTTAAATATTTGTGGTGTCTTTTTCTAATTTTGATAAATCCTCTTCCTTAACGAAGGTGCCTGTGGCTATTTGAAGGGGAAGAAGGGGGGTGCTGAGCTATTCTCCCTTCTCCTGCCTTCTTCCTTGGCCATAGCAAGGCAGAGGGGTCTGTCGAGGATTGTCCCTCTTGTCGCCGCTGCCTGTCCCCGCTGTGTCCCCTGTCCTGCGCTGTCACCACACCAGGGGGCGCTGTGTCCCCACGCTGGGGACAGGTGACAGCGGGGACACTGCTCAGCTGGGGACATGGCGACGCTGCCACCAGCCCCGGGCAGAGCCCTTGCCCTGCCAGAGAGGGCTGTGGGGATTTTTCCCCACCTGCGCCTTCGTGCCTCGTCACAGGGCACAGCCTGCCTGCGATGGAGACCCTGCCTGCGAGATCTCCGCCGTTTTCTACCCTCATATTTCCTTCTGACAGAAGCTTTTCTGGGTGAGTGCTCTGCTGATGCCACCTGGGTAACAGCTGAGCTCTTTGCTGGTAAATGATGGCACATCATTCAGAGCTGAGGCTGGCACCAGGCTGAAGCCTCCTGAGCTGTGCTAAGCCTGAGCACTGCCAAGGCTTCTGCCTCGGTGTGGGGGCACGAGGTGCCCCATGCCCACAGCCTCATGCTCCTCTCGGAGTGGTAGAAGGCTGTGACCCATCAGAAATAGCCCTTGGACCTCTGGGTATCCGCAATCATTCAGTGAGGGAAGTCCTGGAGTCAGAAGGAAGGGGGAGAAAGCCTCATGCTGTGTGTGGGACATCTCTTTTGTCTTGTCCCCAGCCCCAGAGAGGAGAGATGCCTGTGGAGTTGGAAGGCAGCGGGAATGAGCAGGACTCTGGGAGCCACATGTGGCTGCTTCCTGCACCTGTACAGGCCAGCCCATGTGTGTGGTGAGCTGCCAGATTTCAACCCTGAGGTTGGCGGGGTGAGGTGGCCAACATGGGGCCCCAGGAAAGCAACAGATGAGAAGAGGCCGAAGCAATGTACAAATCCCTTTATTTTATTAGTTCGTCAAAGACTAGTTCGAGCAGGATGGTCACAGCATGTCTGTGGGGCCCCGAGCTGCCTGCCACCTCCCGGGAGAGCCCTGGTGAGCGGCTGGGGGCCGTGGCTGAGGAAGCACAGGAAGGGGGGAGCACGGTGCGGCAAGAGACGGGCCGGGATGAGGGTGTGCCCCTGCCTCCCCCCGTTGGGGTGCAAGCAGTGGCTCCTGGGACATCCCAGGGGCGCTTGCCCAGGGATCCCTTCCCAGGCCCGGGGACCCATGTGTCCAGCGTCAGGTGAGGGCAGCCGGGTACTCCCAGCCCTGGCAGCTCTCCGGTGCTGGCTTTATTGCAGGGGGCAGAGTGGGGGGTCCCGGCAGCGCGGCGAGGGGTGCTGCGGGCAGCCCCTGGGGACAGTGGGGACTCGGGGGTGGGAGTTTGAGCAGCGGACACGAGGACGCATGGAGCGATGGGGCGCACCCTGGCACAGAGACACTAATGCGAGAACGGGGGCCAGCGGGGCCAAGACACAGACGAGCGAGCGGCGGGGACGGGGGGGACGAGGCAGGGGGGCCCCTGCCCCGCGCGTGCCTTTGTACACGGTTGGCGGAGCGCGGCGCCCGCTCCTCTCGGTGCTGAAGTATTGCAGTCTAACTGATATGGCTTTAACTATGGGGCCAGAGATGCGGGGAGGGGGGGTCCCCTCCAACCCCCCGATGCAGGAGCACACCGGGCAGCCCCGGGGGACCCCCGTGCCCGACGACCGGGGATGGGGGAGCTGCGGGCAGGGCGCCTGGCTTTGTGCTTTGGGCTTGGCCCAGGGCGGGAGGGGGCAGGGGGATGGCAGTGCTGGGGACGAGGGCAGGCGAGCAGAGGCCTGCTGGGGTCCCCTGGGAGAACAGAAGGGGCAGGGCAAGGGGCACGAGGAGCCACCCCGGGGGGGCCGGTAGGGCCTGGGTGCCCCTAGCCTGCCGCGAGGTTACATCAGTGCATTTGGTCCCGGTTCGCCCTGTCCGGCCAGGGCTGCTCCCCTTTGGCGTGGTGGGGGGGCCCTGCCTGGACGGGACGGGGCGGGCTTTTGGTCTGGTTGGGGGAGAGGGCAGGAGGGGATGGGAGGGGGTGTGGAGACCCCCTCTCCGGGGCCAAGGGAACTGATGGAGGAGTCGTAGGAGAGAGGGCGCCCGTGCCCCAGCACCCTATGGCAGGGTTGACGGTGCTGTTACTTCTTGAACATATCCTGCAGTGGGCCGGGGAGGTACTTGAGGACGGTGTCCAGGATGCTCTCCTCCTCCTCCTCTTCCTCGTCCCCACAGCCTGCTGGGATCGCCTTCTTGGGACGCGTCAGGCTGCCCTCACACGGCTGCTCCAGAGCAGCTTTCTCCTCTGCTTCCTTCTCCTCCTTCTTCTTCAGCCCGTACTGAGAGGACACAGGCTCTCAGCAGGGCAGGCAGTGGGCACTGCCTGTGCTGTGCCCCGTGCCCATCGCCACCGACTTGGGCCACCCTCCTCCCGGCCATGCCGGCTCCCTGTCCCAGCCCCACCCCGGCTGCCACGGGCAGGGGCGGGCACAGGGGAGGTGTGTGCCCACCTTGTCACGGATCTGCTGCCGGACTTTCTCCCGCTCCGCTTCCATGCGGGCGTGCTTGGCTTTCCGCTCCTCCTCCTGCTGGCGCAGCGCCTCCTGCCTCTCCTCCTCCTTCTTCTGCGCGTCGGGGTCCTTCTCCTCCTCGCCCCCCAGCATCTTCCCCATGTCCTTGGTGGCCCCTGTGCATAACAAGACCCTTGGTCCTCATGGGTGCTGCAGCCCAGTGCTGCTGCCAAAGCCCCTGCAGCGGCAGAGAGGACAAGGAGGCCCCTGGCAAGGAAGACCTGGGACATCCCCAGGGCCACCTGTACCGAAGTGGGCTGCAAACGGGCTTGGGAAGCTGTGGGGATGGGAAGTGCCACAGGCTGGCTGTTCTAGTTCAGTGTCAGCTGGGGGAGATGCCAGCAGCTCCTTCTTCAGCACCCAGGGGACCTGCTGGGGAATCCCACTTAGTGGCAGAAGAGCCAGGATTCCCCAGACAGCCGCTGATGACATTGGAAATGGGAAACCTGGAGGGCTCCGGCAGCAGCTCCCCACTGCCGGTGGCTCTCTGTGTGACTCTATCCCCTTGCCATGTCCCTCCCACTGCATTTCTGGGATGCTGGGCCAGCTCTGCTCCCGCAGGGGGGACCCTGAGGGGGGAAGAGCTCCCACTCACCGCCCAGCGCTTGCTTCATGACGAAGTCCATGGTGTCGGTGTGTGTGTGTGGCTAGGCCAGTGCCCAGCACTCATCCACCGCTGTCTCGGCTCGCTGACCAGGGCCACCTGTGCAGGCAAAGAAGGACAGGGTTGGGGATACCATACCAAGGTTCCCTACTGCCCAGGCTGAGGGATGGAATGATCTCTGGGGCTGCACTTTACACCCTCTGCAAATGCCTTCCAGGATGGGCAGAGGGAGGTTCTGGGGTCTGCAGGCAGAAAATGACTGCCTGCTCCCCTCAGCCCTCTCCTTATATCGCTTCTGGCCTTGAGGACCTGTGGAGGCACCAAGGCATGGACTCCAGAAGGATGTTCCACCTCAGTACTGCCCTTGGTGTGGCACCAGGAGCCCTGCCGTGCTGCCTGGGGGCTGGTGGGATGGGGACCCACCACGCCACCAGGCACCATGTGACCCTGCCCCAGACCTTGTCTGGGGGTGCCGGGGTGCTGCGTGCGCACCGCGTGTCTATGGCAGCGCTCGCGCTCTGCAGAGGGACGGGAAGAGGCTGTTGGCAGGTTGCGGCAGTGCTCGGGGGCTGCAGCAGGGGTTGCAGGCAGCAGCCTGTGACTGTGCGTGTGATCCACGCGGGTGCTGCGGGTGGGTGACACCGTGCAGGGGCACTGCCTGTGCGGGACGGAGCGGGTGCGAGCTCTGCGCGCAGGCTGTGTTTGCTCAAGGGGTGTGTTTGCGGGTGGCTGCAGGCTGTGTTTGCATGGGGGGCGCGTGCACACACGCGTGTGGATAAGTTTGTGGGGCTGCCGACTGCGTGTGCCCCCGTGACGTGCGGGTTTGCAGCCTGTTTGCAAGCTGTGTGCGTGTGCGAGTTTTGGGGTGTGCGGGCTCTGCGGATGTGTGTGCACGCAGGTTTGTGGGCTGTGTGTGCGCGCTGGCTGTTTGTGCTGTGGGTGTGCGTGTGTGTTTGCACACTGGGGGGGTGCTGCGGGCTGTCTTGTGCGTGCAGGTCCGTGGGTTTGCAGGCTGCACGGGGGGCTGTGCGCACAAAATTTGCAGACTGTGTCGCGCGTGTGTACGTGTGGGGGTGTTGCAGGCTGCTTGTGTGCTCCGTGTGTGTGTGTGCATGCGGGGGATTACAGGCGGAGGGGGTGTGTGGGGACTGCCCGTGCCCCCCACATGCCCCGTGTGAGTGGGGTGCTGCAGGCGGTGCTCGGAGCCTGGGGGTGCAGTTTGCAGCGTGTGTGTGTGTGTGTGTGTACGTGCCCGGTGGGTGCCGCAGCCCAGCGGGTACCCCCACCCCGGCTCCCCGGAACCCCACGGGGGCTGGGGGTGCTGCACGAGCTGTGACCCGGGGAAGTTTGCAGCTTCCAGCCCCGGGGCACCCCGCGACAACGTTGGGGGGCTCCTCCGGGCAGTACAGTGCTGAACCCTGGGACCGCGGCTGGGGCTTGGGGGGCACCGGGGACGGGGGAACACCGGAGAGCACAGGGACACCGGGGCCGTAGGCGACGTGCGAGGAACACGGGGAGCACCGGAACGCCGGGGTCGCGTGGAGGGGGGGCTCGTAGCCATTGCGGGGTGCATGGGGGACATCGGGAGGCACACGGGCGACGCAGGGGGAACACAGCAAACGGGGGGAACACCGGCAGGCACCGGGATACCGGGGAAACAGGGGCTGCAGAGACGCAGGAGACACGGGGGGGCGCCGGGAAGGCGGGGGACACCGGGGACACGGGACGTAGCGGACACCCGGCATGCGGGGGACACCGGGACCGGTGCGCCGGGCGGGGGGCGCGCGGCCGAGCGGGGTGGGGTGCAGGCACGAAGAGGACGAGGGAGGAACCCGGCTCGGGGGACACGCACCGGGGACGAGGGGGAACGCGGGGACACGGGGAAGGCGGGAACCGCGCGGGGGGCGAGGGTCGCGCAGGGGACGCGATGCCGCGGGGACCCCCCGCCCCCCCACCCCATCCCGGTGTCTGCGGCGCGGGGCTCCGCCCGGGGCCGCCCGGTGCCGCAGCGGCGGCGCTGTCCCTTCAGCACCGGCACTCACCGGCTCCGCCGCCGCTCGCCGCTGCCGCCGCCGCTCCGCCCCGCCCCGCCCCGCCGCGGCCCGGCCCCCTCCCGCCCCCGGCGGCACGCGTGGGCCCGCCCGGAGCGACACCCCCCGCCACCGCCCGGACCGGCCCCCGCGAGGGCGGCGGGATGCGGGACCCCTCCCGGGAAACGCCGCACGACCCCCGGGGAAGCGTCCCGGGGAGCCCCGCGCCGCTCGCCAGGTTGCGGACGGAGCCCCCGCGGGCACCACCCCGCGCTCCCGCAGCGGAGGGACGGGGCAAGCGCCTCCTGCGCCGGGTTAATGATTCACCGCCGCGGCAATTAACGGGAGAAACGAGGCATTAATCAGCCGAAGGTGCCCCCAGTCCCGCAGCCCCCGGCTCCCTCACTCGACCCCCCGACCCGCAGCACCCCGGCCTCCTCTGCAGCGATGTGTGGCGGCTGCGGGAGTTTAATTAAAGTCCCTGATAAATCATATCACCCTCCCTCCCCCTTCCGCCGAGAGCTGCCGTTCGGGGGCTCCAGCTTTGGATTTTTGGTGCTGTTCCCCCGTGGAGCTCCCAGGGCGGATGAGGGGTGCTCAGGAGGGGATGCCAGAAGGGGTCTGCGGTGGCATCGAGGATGTGATGCCCACGGAGCTCAGAACCCCGTTCAGCGAAGGGTTCCTGGGCAGGAAATGGGGTGCACCACCCTGCCTGGCCCCCCTGCACCTGCCAGAAGGGAGATGGGCTCCTGCAAACCCCTCTCGTGTTCCTCCTCTGCAGTGCGGGACAGGACGCCCCGGGTCTCCCCACCTTGTCCCGATGCACAGGGACGGCGTGTGCTCCTCAGAGTGGCAGCCGGTGCCTCCTAATTAATCCAGCTCTGGAATCTTAGAGACAAGATGAGCCCTGTGCGAATCACATCAGTGACTGGAGCCGGGCTTTGGGATAGCTGCTGTTTAATAGTGAGGCTCTGGAGTAGCAGCCTGCGGGGGCCCAGGAGGGTGCTGGATAAGGTCTGGGTGCGGGGTCCTTTCAGGGACATCCCCCTAAACGCGGGAGGCTGCAGGGAACTGGGGCAGGCTGCAGGGCAGGAGTGGGGGGATATCTCGCAGCCAGGGGCGCCAAAAGTGACTTGCAAGTGCCACCTCCACAGAGATGCGGCGCCGACAGATCTGTGTGTGTGCACCCGCTGCCAGCTCCTGCCTCGCACGGCCGCTGCCACGGACAACTTCCAGCACAGGAACAGCACATCAGGGACTTGTCCCTCTTGTTCACCCCTCTCACTGCTCCCAAAAACCCTCTGGCACAACCCATCTCCACCAGCCCCGAGCCCTCAGCCCGACATTGACCAACAACTCCTTTTTCCACCTCCAAGGTAAAAAAGCCTCCTGCCCTAGTGCCCAGCCCCGCTCTGCCTGCTGGCAGCTGGTGGGACGGGCATGTGGGCGGCAAGACAGGCCTGTGCTTGGCCCGTCCGTCTGTCCGTCCGTCCGTCCGTCCTGCGGCAGCCCTGCTCCGGGCGTTGACGTCAGCGCTCCCGGCAGCCGGGCGGTGGGCGGGCGGCACCGCTCCTATTGTATTAAAAATAATACAGCGGAGCACAAATTCATTACAGATAAGTGTGACAGCCAGGAGGAATTAACGAGCCCGTCTCTCAGCGCCTGACAAACGCCTCCTTTTGTTCCTGGGATGGGTCCTTGAGTCTTTCAATCTTTGGAGATGCCTCGGCTCATTAAGCACATCCTCCTCCAGTAGATCCCAGTGTGCCAGAGGACTGCTCCCAGTATGAGCTGAGGCCAAACTGGCAGGGACATCCCTTGTGCCAGTGCCCAGTGCTAAGTCGGGCTTGTCTTTCTTGGGAGTCAGTGGCCTGGAGTTACTGTCCCCAGGCACTGTCCCCACGAGGGGTGAGGGGTGGCCGTGGGGAGGTGTGTGAAGCAGCCCCCATCCCTGTTGCCGCGGGAAGCTCGAGGCTCGTGTGAGCTGAGGCCGCCCCAGCACTCCAGCTGCCGGCGCCAGCAGGGCTGGTGGGCACCCAACTCTGCCCTGCTGGCCAGGCTCCCATGGGAAGAGCAGCCAAGGGCTTGTCACCAGCCCCGGGCGTTGCCTCCTGCCCTGCACACCCCTGCAGACACCCCTGCTCCAGGGGACCCCCACTGCCCCAGAGCTGAGCTGGTGTTTGGGGGATGCTCCTGGTGCTCATGCCCAGTGTGGGCATTCCTTAGGCCAGATGTTCCTTGCATCATCCTGGGCAGTGTCACCTGCTGGGCGGCTGCCTGGAGCTGCTGGGGGCGGCAGGAAGGGAAGGGATGTGGAGAGGTGTGAGGGACTGGGGCAGCAGCACCAAATGGAGGAGAAAGCTCTCAGCACTGCCAAGCCCTGTTAGCACAGGTGCCAGGGCCCCCCAGCAGTTCTGTGCTCCACTCCACACTTCTGCCCAGGGAGGGAATGGGGCTGGCTGGTGCCACCACATTGCCCACAGCATCTGGTGTCAGCAACGCCTGAGTGGCACCTGCCTGCTGGCATCGTCCCCATTGTCCCCTGACAGCCAGACGGGGACCCTGCAAGGTCACAGCCTCTGTGGGCCCTTGCAAAGCTCCCAGGCAGAGGGAATACCGGCACCCATCCCTGCAGCATTGCCAGCCTAGCCTGCTGTCACCCATTAGCACAGGGCAGTTATTTCACTTATCCACCTCCCAACATCTTTGCAGAAAATAATTATTGGTCCTTCTCATTGCACCGAGGGATTAAAAGTGGTTAACTCCATTTCCAAAGGCTTTGTTATGTTGGTTTTCCCTCAGCTGCTGCACAAGGCGATTTCCACAGTGCCACTTAGGCAGCTTTTATCAGGTTGTCTTCTGGAGGTAATTGGGTTTTTCAGGAGCCTGTTTAAAATTCGTAACCCAGCCTCTTAAACAAAACAAAAACAGCAGCGGGGAGAAGAGGAAGAGGCAGCGCGAAACATGCAGCAGCTGCAGCCTCTGAAGAGCAGCTCTGGTCCCTTGGGGCTGGCACCCGGCGGGGGCAGGGACAGGGACAGGCACCAGCCGTGCTGTGGAATCAGTCTGGAGACAGCCCCTCCAGCCCGGTGGCTGAGCACAGACCGCTCAGGGACAGGGGGGACCCGGGGTCACTCCCTCATGCTGTGCTCAGGGCGAGGCGAGTCTGTGGCACTCAGAACCACCCACGTCCACTCCTTGGGGATGCCGGGGCCACCACTCTGTCCCTGCAGCAAGTCACAGACCCCCAGCACACGTGAGGGAGACCCCAGCATCCACTCACTCGTCACACCCATGTCAGACATGGGGTGTGGATGTGGTCTCACTCTTTGCTCAGCACTCACCAGGAGCCTTGGGGCTGCTGGGGAGGGAGGTGGGCTCGTGCCACAGCTTGACCCCAGCTCCACCATGATGCTCCCAGCTGTGGGAGCAGCACCGTGGCAGGGCCCCTGGAGCTCACCAGAGAGTGACAGAGCAAATGGGCAAAAACCGCCCTTGTGGGGTAACTTCTGCTAGCTCCAAGCCTCGAGGGTCTCCCTGGCTCTGGGCTTTGCTGCTTGGCTTGGGGGGAGGATCCTGCTGCCCCCCCTGTGCACCCCTGCAGCCAGAGGGGCTCCGGGCCGACACTGCGGCTGTTGTTGCTCTCCTGCATCACTACTCGGGTCCATCTGCATTAACACCCGTCTGGATTGCTACCACAGCCCTGTCACTGTCACTCTGGCTGACCTGTCTGCCCTCTCCTCGTTGGACAAGGGGTGCACTGGGCACCCCGAGCTCATCCCCACCCTGTGCAGTGTGGGCTGGGGAGGGAGTGGGTGGCAGGAGCTGCCAGAGCAGATGGTCGGTGGGGCCGGATCACGGAACTGCACACAACGAGGGCCGTCCCCGGGGGGCCCTTTCACAGGAGCTGGCTGTGAGCTGGCTCCTGCGGGGCCCCATCACACACCTGCTCGTCCCAGGCACGGCAGCAGCGTGCGAGCCGGGGAGGCTGCGGCTGACGGAGGGATGGGGTGAGGAGAAGACTGAGCCCGTGGCTTCCAGCTGTTCCCAGCACAGCGGTGTCCCAGGAGGGTACCAGAGAGGGAAAGGGGTGCTCCCAGTGCTGCTCAGCCTGCCAGAGCTCCCTGAAATGACCACCTGTGTCACAGAGTGATGCAGGGGCTGAATCTCCCAGCCAGACCTCCCATGGGGACAGGGACTCAGCTCCAGGCTCCAGCCAAGAAGACTCCAGAGTGGCTGGGATGTCAGCCATGGTGTGACCGAGCACCTTGGCTTTGTCACCACTGCTCTGTGCCCCGTGATGTGGAACTCTGCTCGCCCAGCCCCACTCTCAGAGCCACCCAGAACCCCAAGGAGTCCACATCCCATGAGCGCTGGGGCACACCAGGATGGACCTGTGAGTGCCAGGGGAACCCTGCTGGGATGGACCCTGCCACTCGAGTGCTGCAGTGGTGACTCCTCATCCCCGCAGCTCCCGACTCGCAGCGTGTGTCCGGTGCCTCTGTGCCATGCATTATTAAACAGAGGCACTGCAGCCCCTCGCTGTTTATCCTGTTGTGGCTGTGCAGGGACAGGCTGTGGGAGCCGTGGTGGCTCCCTGCACACCCAGAAGCAAGATTTAGACTCACTGCAGATCTGGCCGGTTCCCCAAACAGGTTTATGACACCTGGGCTTACTCAACTGGCCACTTCCAACCCCCCATCTTGTATAGGACGGATCCCACCTCCCTGTGGAACAGACACTGCGTTCAGTGCTCTCACCTAGGCAGTGCTGCCCTGCCCACACAGCAGGTCCAGCATTGACATCCCCATCGCCTCTACAAGGGCATGCTTGAGCCGAGTCCACCCCATCAATATTTATGGCAGGCACGCACACCCGCGCAGCTCTGCAGGGGCCGGTGCGGAGCCGAGCTGGGCGCAGCACGCCAGACACTGCTTGGGAAGCAGACAAAACCCCCTGAGCCCCTGTGCTGCCTCCCCATAGCCCCACCCTGTGCACACACTGATTTTCATCCTTGCCACGCTGACAGGGCCTGTGCAGGCACCAGTGACAGAGGTGGTCAGGACTGTGTGGGCGGTGGATGCACAAGGATCATCTCCTGGCTCTGTGTCAGGATGGGATTTGGGCACCCACTCCCCACAGAAAGCCTGAAAGCAGTTATACCCACCCTCATTTCACTGACAGAAAAAAGACATGAAAGACAAGGGCATGATTGGCTCAAGGCTGGGCATCCATGTCACAGCCCCCACCTGTCCTCTCTCCAGCCAAAACCCCGAAAAAATGAAACCCTTGGCACTGCTCCCCTGAGGTTCAGCCCCATGTTGATAGAGCGCTGCTTTTGCAAAGATCCTGTGAGCTCTTTGGGGCACCCCAGTTGAGGGCAGAGATTGGGGTGCTTTAACCCCAATCTGTACCACCAGTGCTGGGGAGTGGGAGGAAGTGAGGAGCAGGGATGCTTGACCCAAGCTCCCAGCCTTGCTCTGGGAGAGCATCTTCCTTCTGTGAGGGAAGGGCTCATTGTACCCCTGAGAGGGGGTGTTTGGGAGCCCAGATGCCCCACGGCCTGGGCAACAGAGCCAGATAAGGAGGGCAACACCAGGGACACCCTGTCCTCAGTGGCAGCAGATGGCTGCGTGGTGGGGGGCTCCATGGCAGCGTGGGGGGAGACATCTGGGTGCATGGGCTTTGGCCAAGCTGCAGCTCAGTGGGAGCAGGATGAGCCTGAGCTGCCCTGGCTGGGGAGGTGGGGAGGGGACCAAGGAGTAGGTGGGATGGGTTGCTGCCCACCCCAGCTGATACTTCCCCCAGCCTGCTTGTGCTCGGGGTTTCTGCTGTGGCGTGACGCCGGACAGGCACCATGCTGCTCCAAGAGCTGCTGGGGCTTGGGCCAGAAAATTCATTCTTGGCTGCTTTCAGTGGGGTTTGGCTCGTACCTTTCCCATCTGGGGGCTTTCAAATAGGAAAAAAAGAAAAAAAAATAAAAAGAAGAAAGAAAAAACCCCTGGCTCTGTGCCACCTCCACAGTCACCATCACTTGCCATGGTCTCCAGGTGGGACCGTGCCCAGCATCTGCCGAGAGCCTGAGCTGGTCCTCACTCCTGTGGCCTCTGCCTGGTCCTGAGCTGCTTCAGGTGCCTCTTGCCCTGCACCAAAGTGTCACCAAGATGAGACCCCCCCCCTCCCCCCCATCTTTGGTGACCTGACTGGCTCCACTGAGGCATCCCCAGGTGGTACCTCTGAGCCTCCCCATCCATCCCATGGCTGTGCTGTGCCCCCCATACCACGGGGAGTGAAATGGCCCCCCAACCCCCCAGGAGCCACAGCGCTGCCTACCTTGGTGTGTGCAGCACCAGGAGTCTGCTGCTTCAGCACCTAACGCAGGGGGACAAGGACCTCGTGGGGGTGGCTGGGCATCGCAGGGAGAGCAGGGCCTGGAGAGACACCGACAGTGAGAGATGAGTGCCTTGGAGAGGCCACAGCACCAGGTGGCACAGACAAAGTGGAATCACTTTATGGGAGACAGACAGAGCACACCACTGCTTGCTGCCCTCTCCTCCCATCCTGATCCCCAAGGATGGGAGCAACCTGCTGCCAAGAGCCACCATCTCCCTGCAGGTGAGAGCCCAGCAGGGCGTGCAGAGGGTGACAGGCTGCAGGAGGTGGCAGCTCATCAGAGTCTTTGGTTCTCCCCTGGATCAGGGGCACTCACTCTGCTGCTGGCAGAGGGCTCCTGGCCATCTCTGCAGGTACCTGGCAGTTCGGATGCCTTCATTAAAAATTTAGAGGGCTCTCAACTCTTTAAGGGTTTTAAAATTTCACATTAACTCTGCCTTCCTTAGCTTGCACATGATGAATTTCTTCTTTGGAGAACATAATGGCAAGTTAAAACAAGCCACCAAGCAAAAGTCCTTGCTCAGACTCAGCAACTGGAGGAAGCCTGATGCCGCTTTGAGCTCCCCGCTCCTGCCGGACCTCAGGAAACTTCTGTCTGGGGGTCTCATCCCTTCCTCAAATGTCCTTGAAATCCCCCTGTGATGCTTGGGAGATGCAGGGGATGCTGGCCTGTGGTTGTGGGGCTGTGCAGGGACCTGGCTACCAGGGCTCTGGGTGCCATGCAGGGCAGTCTCTGGGGTGGGCTGTCCCTGTGCTGTGGCTCATGTCACTGTGACCTGTGTCATGGGTGTGATTTCTCCTCTGCAACTCGAGAAGCAGGTTCCTGGGAAAGTTACAAATTCATCCTGACTTCAAGGAAAGGCTTTTCCTCCACCCTGGGGAAGGAGGGAGGCTTTGGCAAATTGGAGATAAATATATGACCCAGGGGAGCGAGGGGAAACACAGGCAAACACCGATGTTGTGGAGGAGCAGGGACTGGGGTGAATGGAACCTGCATTTTTAAAAGCTTTACAGAGCAGGGACGCCTCATTCCAGCCCTGGGAGCAGGAGAGCCCAACAGTCCCTGGGAACAGGGTTTGGGGAGGTTGGCTGTGGAAAGAGACATTCCCAGTGGCACCTCTGAGGAGACCCCAGAATGGTGACTGGTGCCCTGGGAAATGCAGTGCTAGGGGCTCAGCCTGCACAGGGCTCAGCAGCAGCGTGAAGGTGACCTTTGCTGGGGACAACCACTGCCTCCTTTGGGATGTGGGGAGGCTCTGGAGCAGGGTGAGGCGGGCTGCAGAGAGCTGCAGGGATGTGATCCTGGGGGCGTCTGGTTTCCAGGCAGCGCCTGCCAAGGAGACAGCTGGGCTGGGACAGAATCAGTTTGGCTCTGCTGGCCATGGCCTGGGGTGCAGATCAGCAGATATTTATTTGCTGAAACCCCAGAGGGTGGGAAGAGCAGGAACACCCTGAGAGAGTACCTGAGTACCTGAGAGATTGCAGAGAGTCGTGAGGGGTGCTGCTCCAGCCCCCGAAGGGTATTTTTTATTTCAGCCAGACCAAAGAGGTTTTTTATCTCCTTTGCAATAAGCAGAGCCTGCCAGTACCATGAAGATGCATCTCATCTGGACAGCTGCACTAGCTCAGTCTGTCTGTCTGTCCAGGCAGCCAGACACCAACCACAGCCAAAGCAGAGGACAGGGAGCAGCAGAGCAGGGTGATGGTGTCAGAACACCCCCAGCTCCAGGGATAGCAGTGCCCCCAGGTGCTGGCAGGGATGATTTGATCCTGTCTGGACACAAGACACAGTATCCAGGGAAAACTTAATGCTCAAGATGAGACATTAGTGAGTCCACAGCTCTTCTGCTTTGGCACATCCAGCTCTCAGCACCCTGCTTGAATAGCTGACCTTGTCCAAGTGTCTGAGACGAGGGGGAGCTGGGGAAGGAGGAGGGTGGGCAGTGAGGTGCACTGGCTGAGAAACTCAGGGAACATCTCAAAGCATCACCTGCCTCAGGGAGATGCTCCTGGGACCTGCCTTGGGTCTGGCACCAGTTTCCTGTCTGGGTGGCAGGGGAGAAAGAAGGTTCAGTGTCACAATATTTGGGGAAAGTCTGTGCTGGCAGTGCTCTGTCCTGACTCTCATGCAGGGATGCAGAGGGCTCAGGGTGCCACACCACACCAGCCCCCAGAGGCACTCCTCAATTGAGGTCTGTACCTCAACTGACCTGCCCTGCCTTCAAAAAGCAGATCCTCATCTTTCAATACCTCTTGCACAATTCCTCTCACCTCAGATTGGGGCAGGTCTGTGTCGCACCCTTGGAGGGCTCTGGGATTTGGCTGAGATAAGCAATGTTTCTGAGCCTCTGGTGAGTGTCACAGCAGGGGCTGGTGACACCAGGTAGAGAGGGATGGACCTGCTGGCCTGGCTGTGTGCAGGAGGATCAGGGACCTGTGGTGCAGAACGACAAGCAAAGGTGACAGTGGCTCCTGGCACGGCACTGGGTGACCCAGCGAGCCTGGAGGAACAGCCTGGAGAGCCCACAGCTGGACAAAGCAGATGGTCTGGGCCCCTGCAGCCAGGAAGGCTCTGTGGGACCAGGAGAGACAGAGGGAAAAGCTCCTGGGACGAGCGAGCAGAGAGCGCTCACGCAAGAGCAGCCCGCAGGAGCACAGCTTGTTTACCCTGGCTGAGCAGGCCTGATTGCTCTCTATAAATACACCCAGAGAATAAACACCGGGGAGGGAGAAGGATCATTTAAACTCGAGGATAATGCTGGCATAAGAACAAATGGGAAGGCCTGGCCAGGAACACACAGAGGCTGCGGGCAAGAGCAGAGATCCTCTGGCCACGGGGAAGGTCCTCTGTGTCCAGCCATGGCTGTTGGGGAAGTGTGTGATGCCCAAGGGCTTGGGCTCGGTGCCACTGGGAGAGGCAGCAGCCTGGGCTGCAGGGACTGTGCTCTCCTGCCATACCAGACCTGCTGAGCTCCAGGCCATGGGGGCACATTGGTGCCCAGGGCTAGAAATGGAGATGTGCCACACTGTCAGTGATCACCACCACTTCCTCAGAGGGTTTTTCCACAGGACTGGACCTCTGCTGGGACTTCTGATCTCCAGAGCATAAACCAGGCTGGGCAATTCAACACGGCTCCCCTTGGCTCCTGATAGGGGCCTGCTGGGCTGTGCCTGGCAGCAGCCTCTGCAGAAACCCAGGGAAGAGCCAAGGTGTGAACCACAATCATCCTCCAGTGCTGTGAGGTGTTCCGAGCTCTGTCTGCTCAGGGTCATTTCAATACTAATGTCATCATGCAAGGCAATCGAAGAAACAAACACTCGGCCCACAGCCAAGTGAGACTTTGAGACATTTTTCTGTGCCAGTTTGTCTCAGCTGAGCCGTCTCCAGTTTCCCCAGGAGGGTGAGGGTCAGACACTGTAAGCAGTGCTGCTGGATGGGGATTGAGCTCCTTTGTTTCCACACTGGAGCCTGTCCTGTCAACCCTCGGTGTCCTGCAGCCTCAGAGGCACAAGGGCAGTTTTGGCAGGGAGAACACTTCTCTGTGCCCTGAGCCCAGCCCATCCTTCCTCATCCTCTATTTGCAAAACCCAGCACCTCAAATCACCCCGGTTCCTTCACCAGCCCTGGCCAGCAGCTGCCACCACCACGGAGCCCGGCTGCTTGCAGGGAGAAGCCCTGAGTCCTGTTCTGAGCGACGGTGCCAGCCCTGCTGCTCTGCTCTGACTCACTGCACCGCCAGCCTCGGGCAGTGCCTGCCCGGTCACACTCGTGCCATGCGGGTGGCATTGCCACCGCGTGCTGCCAAGGCCTGGAGCACGGCAGCCACCGGCCCGTGTGCTGCAGCCGTGGTGCTGGGGACACGGCGGGGACAGGGGCTGGAGAGTGGGGCTTAGGAGGCACCTTGTAGGGACAGAGCAGAGGGGAGAGGGGTTGAATCTCAGGGGACTGGGAACGGTGAGGCTGGGATGCTCCCCGAGTGGTTGGACTTCGGCGTGGAGAGCAGGGTGGAGGAGGGAGCCACCGATGGGGAGGCACGGGAAGAGCCCGGCAGGTGCCGGAGATCCCCACAGCAGGAAGGTGCACGGAGCCTCCCGGCTGCAGACAGGGGGTGATGGCAGGATCAGGTCGTGTCCTCTCCCTGCCCACAGCTCCGCTCTGCGGTGCCCCCCCGAAGGGGACGGCCAGGCACGGAGGGGCTGGAGGGGGTACCCAAAGCCCGGTCCGGGGGCGACAGCGCTTCTCCTGCCATCCCCTGCACATAGGCGTGTCCCCCCTCGCCAGACCTGCAGGTGGGCTGCCCGGGGGACGCGCCGCTCAGCTCTGCATCTTGCACCCGTACCTCGCATCACCTTCATCCTTCCCCGCATCCCGCACCACCTGCATCCTTCCCCGCATCCCGCCCCGCATGCCGCATCCCGCTCTCCGCGGCCGCCGCCCCGTTATATAAGCCGGCGGCCCCGGGAGGCTCGGCGGGCCGATCCCCGCGCCCGGCCCCCCCCGGGCTCTGCGGCACTCCGGGCCCGGCCCGGCCCGGTCCCGCACCCACCTGGCTGGCTCGGCGCGGCTCCGGTGCGCCCCGTCCGCCCCCGGCGCAGGGAAGGAGCCGCCGCCGGAAGGGAGGCGGGAGCCGTAGCGGTACAGGGGGGGCCCGGTGCTGGCTCCCCCTCCGCCGCACGGCCTCCCGGGCGGGGCCGCCTCCGTGCCCGCCTCCGGACCGCCCCGCGCCCCGGGCGGCAGCCCCCGGCCCGGCCTTCCGCTCCGGTACCGGGCGGGTTCCCTCCGGTACCCGGTAATTGCTGCTCCGGTACCGCGATTCCCACCCCTGCTATTCAACCATCCACCCCCCGCAACCCGGCTATGCCCCCCCTCACCCCGCATCACCCCCGGTACCCTCCCAGTACCCCTTGTGCCTACAGTTGTGCCTCCAGTGCCGTGACAGCCACCCCCAGTACGGGGCCGTGACTTCCAGTACCCCATTTCTTTGCCACCCGTTTCTCCAGTGCCCAGCAATTCCCCCCACTCCCTGGCCCTTCCTCTGGAACCCCTGGACCTGCCAGTTTGCCCCCATCCAGCAATTCCTTCTAATATTTGCTCTATCCCCGCAGGCCCTGGTCCTTCTGTGCCCCTCTGAGTTGGTGATTTCTCTCCCGTGGCACTACCAGCCCCTCCATGGGAGGGGTCTCAGGGCTCCTCTGGGTGTCTCAGGTGCCAGCAGTGCTCCCCAGATCAGAGATCCTTGTTGCACACACCTTGCCCAGGCTCTCCTGCAGGGTGTCCCGAGGATGGGGGTGATGAAGAGCCGTGAGCACGCTGGAGCCTGCAGGCTCACAGAACAGCCAGGGGGAAGCGGAGGAGGTGGAGAGGTTGGAGCAGGGGCTGCTCTGGGAGCTGCAGAGCTCCAGGATGGGGATATGGGCAGGCTGGCCGTGTGCTCCTGCATAGAGTAGGGAACAGCAGAAGGAGGGAGTGTGAAAAGAGCAAGAACTTGTCCACAGAGGTTTTAAGAAGCCAAAATTCTGGCTCGGGGATTGGTGCAGAGCATGGTCAAGAGGACTGCAACATCCCCACTGGCCTGAGAGGCTGGAACTCATCCTGCCCCTGCCCAGTCCCTCTCCACAGGCTGCTGCCCTTGTGTTCCTGGCAGGCGGGTGAGGCCTTTTTCCCCCTTAGGTTTTGTTTTGGGTTTGTGGGTGCTCAGAAAAGCTCCCACCAAGCCCTGGAGATGCTCTGGAGTTGGTGCTTTCTGGGGTGGTCTCCTTGCATTGCAACTTGTCTTGGCAATTTGTTTGGCCATTGGGATCTCTGATCGCTCTCTGAACGGGAAGGGGGGTCCTGTCCCTCCCTCCTGAAAAGTGCAAGACATCTGTGTGTTAGTGCCCGAGGAGGGCTCAGCACCATGGCCCCAGGGGAGTTTGCTGCTGACATTTCCCTCCCTGGGGAATCCTTCCTCACGGCAGGGTCAGTCGCGGGTCATCCGGGAGCCACCTCCGGTTATCCCTCCCTGCTCCCGCCGTGCCGCTCGTCACATCCCGCAGCAGCTCACTGCACCACTCCTCCTTGCAGGGCTGCTGCGGGATGGAGAGGCTGATGAATAAATCAATCCCCCTCGGTGCTGAGGCTGCAAAACTTGGATGCGAGCAGAGGAGCAGCGCCGGGGCTGGCGGCCTGACGGCCGGGGTGCCACCGCTTGTGAATTCCCCCCATGCAGCCGCCGCAGACAGAGCTGCTGCAGCCAAGTGGGCAGCTCTGATTGCCTCCTCGGCATGTTTTATTTATCAAAGCGCTCAATATGCAGCTCTCTCCCGCTGTCCCACATTTTTTCCTAGATTCTCCCGCCTGGAAATGGGAGCAGCGGTTTGGAGAGGAGCCGTGGGGCGCCGCTGGCTCCTCCTGGGCTCAGGGGGCAGGAGCCTGTTCTCCTCCCTGCCGTGGGCCGCTGGCATGGCCCTGTCACACGGCTGTCACTCAGCTGCCACCGTGCCGAGGACAGGGTCCCTTTGCTGCCAGCGGAAGGACAGCGCTGTGCGCCTGACCTTTCCCGAGCTCAGGGAACACTTTTAAAGAGCAGCCAGGCTTTTGGTCCTCCTCCTGTGCCTTGCCAAGAGCAGCGGGTCCCAGGCAGGTGCCAGGCGCCGCAGGCGATGCCTCCGTGCATGGCAGAGGCTGGATTTGACCTGGCCCTGACCGAGCTGTGGCTGCTGTCGCTGGCCCATCCCGGTTCCTGCTCGCTTTCCTCCATCGCCTCCAGCTGCCCGTGCCACAGGAGAGGAGGGAGCTGCAGGCTGCCTTTCTGCTGCCTCGCTGCTAATAAATAAACCCCAGTAATGAGTTGGGCTCTGGTGGGCGGGCAGGTAGTGTTAATAATCCCCCAATTCCGTGGATGAGGCAGACAGTTAAGTGCAGAAAACCCACAAATAAACAAGAAGGAGAATAATAGAGGAGCAGGGAGGAGCTGGCGTCTGGGTCCCTCAGCCTTTCCCCCGGCAGTGCCAGGAGCACTCTGGGAAGTGTAGTTCTGCCTTCATCCTCTGCCGACATCCTCCTCTGGAGGGAAGGAAATCTCTAATTTTCAGCCCGTTCCTCCGGTGGCACCAAGGCTGGGCACCCCATGGAACACCAGGACGGTCAGCCCTGGGGATGTGGAGCAGGACAGGAACGTAGCTCTGAGGGGAGCCTGTGTGCACAGAGCATCCCTGCCGAGATGGGAGCCCTCAGGGTTCTGAGAGAGGAAGCCCTGCCAGGCAGAGAATCCTTGGGGCTGTCTCCGTGCCACCAGTGTGGAAACCGAGGGATGGAGGGGCTGCAGCCGTGGGATGACTGCTTTGCCTTCTCACCCCTGCCATGCACGTGTGAGCATCCCTACCCTCGAGCCCCCTACGGATGGAAACACCGGCTTGGAGAGCTTGACAGAGGGTGCACTGTGGAGGGTGGAGCTGTGCAGGGGTCATGCTGGATGCTGGCACAGCACAGGCTTCCTCCTGGAGCCCCAGACAGACACAGAAACCTCAGTGAGAGCAAATGCCTCCCCGGCTCTATCGATCGTGGCCGTGGGCTGTGTGTGCCTCATGCTGGACTCGCAGGGATGATCAATACTCGTTTTTCTCCCCAGCCCTCACCTCGCTAATGGGAGCCACCAGCCCTGCCACTTCCCCTGCTGAAGAGCTGCCAGGAGGAGATGGCCGTGGGTGGGCTGGAGTTGGAGCCACTTCTCCTTTGCATTCTCAGGGGAAGAGTCCCCAGGAGCTGCGGTGCTGTCACAGCCTGGGCCTTTGGCACTGGGCACTGGTGAGCTGGTGGCTGCCGAGGCCACGGGGACAGCAGACACCAGTCCCCAGCTGGCACTGGGATAGCTGTGATTAGTCATAAGCAAACATTTGGAGCAAAGGTCCACGGGCTTGTGGCATGCTGGGAACTTGCTCCCTGCAGGGACACGTTTCACCCTTCGTGGCAGCCGGCAGTGGCTGTGCAGGTGCAATGCAGGAGGAGATGCTCAGTGCCAGAGCTCTGCCTGTGCTGCTGCAGGTGCTTGGGAGAATGTTCCCACCGTGTGTGGGTGGAAAAGGGAAGCCCATGATGCCAGGGGCATGGCTGCAGTGCCAGGGGACACAGTCCCATTTTGTCTGGTGGCAGTGCTGCTGCTGGTGGCACCGCGGGGGTTTTTCCTGTGCTGGCAGCAGAGGGGGGACTCATGAGAGGCATAATAATAATCCCCACGTGAAGTATAAGAAAAGAAGCTATTTCAGTATTGCCTCCTCCGCCTGGTGAGCCCACAGCCAGGCCTCTATCAGGAAAGGGAATGCAGATAAATCAACCATTCTCCCTAGGAAGATGAGCTTATACCCCTCATGTGGCACCAAATCTTGTTGGGAAAAGGTGCTGGTTCCAGATGGGTGCTGGGGGCAGCCAGGACACAGCCTGTCCACAGTCCCAAACATTGGGACCTGGCACCAACTGAGCTGCCTGGACCCCTGTGATGAATTTCTCAGAGAGAGCAGCAATTCCTGGAAATTTTCTTCACTGTGTCTGTGCAGGCAGTAACTGGGAGCTGAACTCCTTCAGTAGAGAAGGGAAAAAATAAAAAAAGACCAAAAGGAAATAGAAGAGATTGGGGTTTTGATGCCTTTTCCTTTGAATGCAGGGACTTGCAGAGCTGGGCGGTGATGGGTGAGGGGCTGTGGGATGGAGCATGCACACTTTACACATTTGGGAAAGCCAAGCCAGGCCTGCAGGTGCCCTCTGTCCTGTTTTGGAGGGCAGGAGCTGCCCTTCATGGCAGACTGCAGAAGATTGATGTGTTTTTGAAGCAAACCAGAGTTTTTGCCCTGAAACGGTGTGAGTGCCTGCTCCGAATGCTAAGCAGCTCCTTGGAAAGCAGTTTCAAGGCACAAAGGGGAGCAGGATGGGGGAGCAGAGCAGTCAGCCCCCTCCTATGGCCCCTGGAGACTGCACTGTCCCTTCCCAAAAGTCACAACAGATAATCAAACTCATATGAAAATTCCCCCCAAGAAGTCTGGCCCCTGGTTCTGGGGGTCTGGGTGGTGGAATCCCCCCTCAAGAGGTCATAGTCTGTTTTGTGGTGGCCAAGATCCACTCATGGAAGATTATTCGGGGGGGGCTGTGCGTTTATTTTGCTGCCACTGCTGGGACCTGCTGTGCTGGTGGGGCAGGAAGCAAAGAAGTTCAGGGGAGCTGTCCCAGGGGTGTCACCCCTGGAGTCCTCCTGATGGCTGCTCCCCCCCAGGCACCCCTAAGCTCCCACAGCACCATCCCAAGTCCCCTTGTTGGGGTGGCACAAGAGCATCTCCTGTGCCCCCAAACTGCCACCCCATGCCCGGGGGTCCATCGGGGCAGAGGGTTGGGCTCTGCACACTCAGCCCCGAAGTGTTCTCTCCACAGATCCTCCCACCTGCCTCTGCCAACTAATGGAGGTGATTTTCACCTCCTTTCATCTGGAAAACCATCGGCAAAAGTCATCTAACAACTTCCCTGGCAGCAGGAGCGTTGAAGAGATTTCTCTCGCACATTCACAGCAGGTGATTCTCCGTGCTGCTCAGAGGAGGATCGCTCTGGCTCGGCGTGCAGAGCAGCACT